GGGGGGGAGAAAGTTCTTTAACCTTTGTTGCCGGTGAAGCCACCAACTCTGGCAGTTGCACGCTTCTCCAACTATCAGAAGTCATAGACATGTGGGACTCGCCTGTCCCTAGCTGAGGTCGGTTCCTTCTCTTTGACACATCCAAGGAAATCTTTACAGCACCTTTTTTCCAGATTCAGACCCAAGGGTAGGGTCCTATGAGTGCCTCGCCGGTTCCTTTGACACCTCCACGAACATAAATGGTCAACCGGAAAGCCTCCAAGCTCTCTGTAACCCCATCACGATTTCTTTTTTTTTTTGGTATGGTTTATCAGTGCTCACTAAGGTCCTTACAAGTGCAAAATTGTACATCCTACATCGGACCAGAAACGTCCATAGTCTTCCCAACTTTGCATCACAGAAACTTGAAGACCATGCTCTGACCTCTTATTACACTACTTCTTCAGCCTTCGTCGGTTCCTTCTATCCTCTCCTCGGTCCTTGCTAAAAGGTTCACGAGGAATTCCATGGACCACAGAAAGGAGAGCCATAGCTTTCACCTTTATTTTTCCAAAAAACAACACCTCCGCTAGTTCAGTTCTTGGTTTAAGTCCTCAACAAGGTCTGCAACAGTTTGCCCTTGGTCTTTGACACACTGATTTCTTGGTGAAAGGATGCTGTGTTAACATCCACGAGCTGTTGGGCTTCACTGTTAGCACTTCTGGCGCTGACCCACCACGGTTGGATTTTGCCGTCAACCACGGGGAGAAGAAGCCTCCTCTCGGGAATGGATCTTCTCCTGCGGCCGTAGCCCTGGGAGCTCATTTTTCTGGCCGGTGCTGTGCTGTCCTTGTCTTTGTCAGTGTACTGGTAGACCTTGTGGGCCAAATCGTGGACGATGCATGTGCCAAATTTGCAACCCCTGTAGGAAATCTGAGGGTAATTGCTGAAGCTCTGACGGTATCTCTTCACGCGGATATGGGCACCATTGCTGATAGGAAAGAGAAGAAAGAACACCATTAGTTAAATGGTTGTCACTCTTTATATTTTACATTTAAGACAACGCCAAACAACTCCAGATACTGAGGGACAACAGTCACCAGAAAACATCATGCAGGTATTTGTAGTTCCTCAGTTGCAGCAATACCAATGGTTGCTTATGTTTAATGTACATCTAATATAACTTCTTACTATCTATTATAAAAACGCATTTTCGGCCCCAAGGAGACAACTTTCTGAAAAAGTTGAATTACTTCTAACAATTTTGATGTTGATAGGATATCATTATGGCGGATTCAAAACGTTCCACCATCTAGAGTCACCAGATATAACATGGTGACACCAAAAGCTATATTCCAACTGGAGAATATATTCAATATAATAATAAATGGTGTTTATAGGATATCATTATGGTGGCTTCAAAACGTTCCACCATCTAGAGCCACCAGATGTATCATGGTGACACCAAAAGTTAGAGCAACCTTAGCTTCCAATGGGAGAATATATTCAGCAATATAATAAATGATGTTTATAGGATATCATTACGGTGGCTTCAAAACGTTCCACCATCTAGAGGCACCAGATATATCATGGTGACACCAAAAGCTAGAGCAACCTTAGCTTCCAATGGGAGAATATATTCAATATTATAATAAATGATGGTATAGGATATAATTATGGTGGCTTCAAAACGTTCCACCATCTAGAGGCACCAGATATATCATGGTGACACCAAAAGCTATATTCCAACTGGAGAATATATTCAATATAATAATAAATGTATCTTGGAGGCACCAAAAGTTAGAGCAACCTTAGCTTCCAATGAGAGAATATATTCAGCAATATAATAAATTATGTTTATAGGATATCATTATGGTGGCTTCAAAATATTCCACCATCTAGAATCACCAGATATATCATGGTGGCACCAAAAGTTAGAGCAACCTTAGCTTCCAACTGGAGAATATATTCAACAATATAGTCAAAAGAGCCTATAGAGAAAAATATAAGTATAAAAGTATACATGTGAAGATATTTACCTGCTTTGGGGCACCATAGAGTCCTTAGTATCTTCTGTTCTGACAAAAGAACCTTCAGTCATTGCATCACTCAGCAGCTGTACAGTCAAGTCTCTCTTCATGCGATTCATCCTAATTAGATCCCATCTACAAGTGCAATAAAAACAGGTTTAGAACTCCGATACACATATAAAACCTGATAGTGTACACAAGTTTCAAGGAACAGTCAACTTTTTTTTTAAAGTCCATGAACTTACTTTTTTTTGTCTCCTAGACTGACTTCCAATCTTGCCATGACGGAGCCAAGGAAGGTCAAATAACTCATGAGGAGCACGATGGTGTAAGCCAACTCCATTCTGGACCGATTCCTGGTGGAGAAATACAAAAACGAGCTCTTTAGAGGGGTTGTCAAGAGTCCCATGCACAGCCTGAAATCATCTCTGCAACTTGCAGAAGTTTTTTTTTTTTTTTAGCCCTGTTCACATTCTAATCTGTGTTTGCTTTTTAAGTTTTTTATCAGTTAAACAAACACACAAATCTGGAAATACTTCCAAAACATCAGCTGGGGCGCAAGTAGAGGACTCTGCACCATACAAAAAAAAAGCCCCTAAGCAATACACTATTTAATTACCCGCCTAGTGCCAATAAGTAGGTCTAAGAGGTTTAATTTTAATCTTCCACGCCGGTGCCGGCTGAAAATTCTGTATTAATACCAAAGCACATGGAAAAATTCCTGCTGCAGTTGCAAATGATATTCTGTCTGTGCAGAGAAGCAAGACACAGGTAGGATTTAAGGTAGGATTGCTAGGTAGGATTTAAAGGGAATTGCTCTATCATTTAGTATGTAGAGATCAAGTTTGGAAAGAATGCCTACCTGTTGCCGGAGGGATAATCCAAAGAGAGTTTTCTTGCAGGAAGGGATATAATCCAAAGTTTTGGGAGTGAGTTGCTCTGTGAGCTGTTCACTTGCTGTTTGGCTGTTGAGCGGCACAGGGCTGCCTTATAAGACCAAGCCGGTGGGCGTGGCTAGGGGGTTGAGTGACAGCCACTGTATACTGAAAGCATTACAATGCACGCTGAGCCCTCTGTAATAAGCTCCTATTGTGTTTCATTGCTGGAAAAATAAGCAAGATTACAAAAAAAGTCCAAATCCTGCCCATCTGCACACTGGATGTTTCCTAATAAGGGCTGTTTGGGGGAATTGTGAGTAAATAAGATTGGCATTATGTATATGTGTGTGGGTGTCTCTCTGTGTGTGTGTGTGTGTGTGTGTGTGTGTGTGTGTGTGTTGTTACATAATATATAAGATATTACTAATATTACCATCATTATT